TAATTTGTGTGGGAAGGGGCAAACAACAAGTTACATACGTAATTAAAATAAGTAAAGGAGACATAATGGGAGCAAAACAAAATACAGAAGTATCCAAGGCCAGCCCATTAGGATGCATCTTAGCTCACTGGAAAGAAATAGCAGGCAAAGGGGGTGTGGAAAATAAAAAGAGTTTAATCAAATATTGCTCCCATTGGTGGCCACTCTATCACCTAGAGGAGGGGGCCAGATGGCCTCCTACAGGTACATTAGAGTATAATACCTTGTTACAGCTAATGCTATTTTTACGAAGGGAAGGGAAATGGGAGGAAGTTTCTTATTGTGATATGTTTTTCTCCCTCCGAAATAACCCTGATTGGCAAAGGGACTGTGGCATCAGAGCCCCCTCTGATCCCCTCATTCTAGCTCTTGAAAAAGAAAACAGAAGCAAAACAAGGAAACTTAAACAATGCTGCTCAGCCTGTAGTATAGGCCAGAGGTGCACCAGGATAGATAAAGTTTATCGCACAGCACTAGAAGAACAAGAACAAGATCTAAGCTATCTATTCCTCACTTAGGAAGGGAAGAAGGAAGGGGTGAGAACTTAGGAGAGGCATCAGCACCACCTGCAACACCTATACTACATACACCACCTGCATCACCTGCAACACCTACACTACATACACCACCTGCATCACCTGCAACACCTACACTACACACACCACCTGCATCACCTGCATCACCTACATCACATACACCACCTATACCACCTACACCACCTGGTCCACCTACCCCTTCTCTTCCTTCAGAAAGAACACATGCTCCAACCCCCATAAGCAGCCCAATTGCATCTCGAACCAGAGGACAAATATTGCAAGGCCCTTTATGAGAGACAGTAACATCGGAGGGAGAAAAGGTACTAGTTAAGGTACCATTCTCCACCCTTGATTTGGAAGCATGGGAAAGGGTCGCAGGAGATTACCGAAATGACCCTTTCAACACTGCCAAACGTTTACGATACATTATGAAGCAACACAACCCAGACTGGGGTGACATTCAATTGTTATTAGATGCATTCACTGAAACAGAAAAGCAGTTGGTTCTAAAAACAGCAGGAGATCTGGTAGCGGACCATTTTAGACAACAACAAGTAGATCTAAGGGAACATTTTCCACTTCAAGACCCGGGCTGGAACCCAAACCAACCAGAAGAGAGACAAAAGCTAAAGAAATATCAAGACTGGGTGATATTGGGAGTGGAAAGAGCAATGCCTAAAACCATAAATTGGTCAGCTCAATATGCTATTAAACAGGGACCCTCGAAATCCCCCACAGAGTTCCTAGACCATTTGAGAAATGCAATGCGGAGCTATACACCACTAGACCCTGCATCTGAGGTGGGGATACAACAACTAATTAATCTATTTTTGGGGCAGTCCACAGGGGATATTAGGCGCAAACTCCAAAAGATTCGAGAAGAAAACGCCCAGAATTTAGAAACTCTACTGGGAGAAGCTTGGAGGGTCTTTAGCAACAGGGAAGAAGGATATAAGCGAGGGATGAAAAATTTAGTAGCAATAGTACAGGAGGAGCAGAGAGGAAAACATGGAAGCAGGCAGGGGCCATCCAGGCAAGGCCCCCCCTGGTTGGGCAGAAATCAATGTGCAAACTGTCGGAAACAGGGCCATTGGAAGAGGGACTGTCCAGAATGGAAACAAAATGGTCAAGGGAATCAAAGGGGGGGAGTAGTGGCCCATGTGCAGGAAAATTAGGGGGGACCAGAGGAGACTACCCCAGCAGGCCCTCTGGTTATAAATCTGAAGCTGGGGGAAATGGAGAAAGAAGTAAAATTCCTAATTGACACTGGGGAAACATACTCAGTTCTAAATACAGCTTTGATGCCCATAGGAGATGATTATGCTATAGTTACGGGTGCGACTGGCCAAACTGAAAAGGCATTTTTCTTCAAGCCACTCAAATACAAACTGGAAAAGCAGTGGGGAATCCACAAATTCCTATATATGCCCAACTCCCCTGAGTCACTTTTGGGCAGAGATTTGCTAGCACAATTACAAGCAACCATTACATTTAAAAATGGGGAAATTACCCTGGAGGTAAACAATCAAAAATATGTAGAAATATTAAGTTTGATATTAACCACTAACGAAGTCATGAGGAAAACTGAAATTAATAAAGAGGTAATGGATCAGGTATTCCCTGGGGTGTGGGCCTCTGATGTACCAGGGAGAGCGAAAAACGCTTCCCCTATACAGATCCGGCTAAAAGAAGGAAAGCAACCGGTCAGAGTTAAACAGTATCCCTTGAGGAGGGAGGATAGGGAAGGGATTAGCCCAGTAATTGAGAACTTTTTGCGTCTAAGATTATTAAAGGGATGTCAGTCTGATTTTAATACCCCTATCCTACTGGTCCGCAAACCTGATGGGTCATACCGGTTAGTACAAGATCTGCGAGCTGTGAACAAGGTAACTGAAGATCTGTATCCTGTGGTGGCCAATCCCTACACGTTATTAACTTGCTTAACACCCGAATTAACTTGGTTTACCATTTTAGATTTAAAAGATGCCTTCTTTTGCCTTCCTATCCATGAAGCCAGTCAGAAAATTTTTGCATTTGAATGGGAAAGCCCCAAAAGTGGGTGAAGGACCCAACTTACGTGGATGAGACTCCCACAAGGATACAAAAACTCACCCACTCTGTTTAGAGAGCAACTTGCAAAGGAATTAGAGACCTGGAAAGCCCCTCCCGAGGAAGGGAAGCTGCTACAGTACGTAGATGACATCCTGATAGCCACACGAACGAAGGAAGCATGCGTGGCCTGGACAGTAAGCCTCTTGAACTTTCTGGGGCTCCAAGGGTACCAGGTATCAAAGAAAAAGGCCCAAGTAGTCAAACAGAAAGTAATTTATCTGGGTTACGAAGTCAGTGCTGGACAACATAGCCTGGACCAAAGCCAGAAGGAAGCAATATGTCAAACCCCAAAACCTCAAACTGTAAAGGAATTACGAACTTTCCTGGGGATGACGGGGTGGTGCAGATTATGGATCTATAATTATGGACTGTTTGTGAAGCCCTTATATGAACTAATTGCAACCGAAAGCAGGGACATCCAATGGACAAAGGAAGCTACGCAGGCTTTCAACCAACTAAAAAAAGCCCTCATGTCAGCTCCAGCTCTGGGATTGCCAGACGTGAGTAAGCCTTTCCTTTTGTTCTCCCATGAGAAGCAAGGAATTGCCTTGGGAATATTAGCACAGGACCTCGGCCCATACCGGAGAGCAGTTGCTTATTTCTCTAAGCAATTAGACACAGCCGCCAAAGGGTGGCCTGGGTGCCTCAGGGCTGTGGCAGCAGTCATAATGAACATCCAAGAAGCACGTAAATTCACCCTGGGCCAGAAAATGACTGTGCTAGTGTTCCACACGGTGTCTGCAGTACTGGAGGTGAAAGGCAGGCACTGGCTTTCCCCACAGCGATTCCTGAAATACCAAGCTATTATGGTAAAGCAAGATGATGTAGAGATAGTGGTGACTAACATTGTCAATCCAGCCTCCTTCCTCAGTGGAAACCAAGGAGAACCAGTGGAACACGACTGCCTAGAGACCATCGAGGCCACCTATTCCAGCTGCCCTGACCTGAAGGACACCCCTCTTGAGAATGCAGAAGTCTGGT